CGCAACACACGTGCAAATAGCGCCATATCTTGTCGCCCAACTCGGGGTCAGTTCCCACCGTCGGTTCGTCAAGAATTAACAGTTTGGGCTGATGTAGGAGTGCTAACGCCAGAGACAGTTGTCTTTGTTTCCCACCAGACAGTTGGCCAACAGATTTGCTCATATTTGGAAGTCCTAGCTTTGTATTTAATTCTAGAATTCTGTACACAATTATATTACATTCAAATTAGAAACATTTATGCTGAAATATTCTTTTTTATATTTACTAATTTCCCATCTATTTTTCAATACATTTTAATAGGCTTTAAAAATAAATCCTACTTTATAAATAACTAATACATTTCACATATAATAAAATCCTGTATCAATGCAACAAATAATTTATATTTTGACTATTAGATTATATCATAACATAATCAAACTTAATGTTGTTTTTTAAAATGTTCAAATTTTGATAAAGTGAATTAGACCACCCGTGTGGCAGTGGCAGTGTATGACAGTATATATAGTTTTAAAATAACATAATAGGATCTAATAGTCAATTCAAGATTATATGTTACATAATGTATAAGTATTGTACTTTATAAGAAACCCATATTAGATCTCTTAGCAAACCATCTGAAACCAAGTTTAGCAATGAGTTTATATACTAATAATGTAAATATAATCTCGTTTACAAAAATATTGTTTATACAAATTGATTTTTAAATTGAATCTGCTCGTTTCTTATAGAGAGGTTGCACTGTATATGGGATATTATACTGTTTTACTTAATAATTAAATAAAGGATTCTATTAGCAACATATTGAAAACTGATGATTAAAAAAAGTAAGAATTGTCCAGGCAGAAACGCTTTTATGTCCATTTGTTTTACAAATTTTGAATATAAAAGTATTTCTACAGTCAGTTAAATGCCTTTTTATAGAGAATATACAGTATAATTGAATTGTTTGATGAGTTTAGACTTTCTACTGTATTACATTATTATCTAATTAACATACAAATTAGTAAATTGAGAAAATATAGAAAAATTTATAATTATTAATCGTATTGAAAATCCTAAAATCTTGTGCATTACCCGCGGGTTATATAATGAAAAAAGTAAAAATTTTAAAAAATTGTCATGTGTGGGTTATCCACGAGGCCCTACAAATGCCAATATTTAATGAGCAAAAGAGCAATTTATAATCTTATTTAGAAGGAAATGTATAATTAGATTTAAGATGGGTATTTAATGTTTCATACAGTTATACTAATATTTTTATAAAAAATAGTCTGATAGAATGATTCTCGCTAATATGAGAGGATTAACTCAATAAGTAGCAAATAATTAGATGTTATAAATATTAAATTAAAGGATTTGTTCAAAAATATTAGTTGACGTCTTACCTGTCTTTGAATTTACTCTTTGAAATGTGATATAAATTAGCAAAATATAAAAGTGTTTGCTTTACAGTCAATTGAAGACATAGAGCACAATCCTGAGGCATATAACCGATGAGCCTATTATTACGGCCACATTGAGTGCCCAATACAGTGATTGAGCCACTTTGCAGATGTATCCGACCCAGAATCAATTTGAGCAAGGTTGTCTTCCCGGCCCCACTCGGCCCCAGCAAACCGTAGATCTTGTTTTCAGGTATTCGCGCATAAATATTAGCCAAAACACGGTTTGTTTTATAGCGAAAAGTCACGTTATTAACTGAAATAACACTCATTTTGCAAATTTAGACCCAATCGTTGAAATTGAAAATCTTATTGGCATTTAATGAGACAATGAATTAAATTTCATGAATTACTTTCGAGTGTTTTATGTAATCATTTTAAACGCAAACGAATTGCATATTGAATATGAAGAGTTTTACATTTACAGTATAATTATGAGCCTCTTATGGCATTATAGCAATTCATTCGCACACATTTCCATCATTACAATCAAATAAATATATTGTCTTTTAATGCTATTATTAAAATCACTATTAAATTGAAGTTATATTAAAATGCTTTTAAAACAATTTTATTTAATATGAAAGTTATGTAAATTTAAGTGAAAATGTATTATTTCTATGATATTAAATAAATATGTTGTATAAGACATTATTATCATGAGAACAATTGTGTAAACAATTTTCAAAGTTATTATTCATTAAAATATATAAAACAAAAGACTTGACATAACTTTTATACTGTAGAAAAGTAGTCAATGAGTGTTAAACAAAGACTAAACACTGAAAATCAATGATAAACTTCAAGTCTCTTCTCAAACATAATGTTTGTTTTGAAGTTTTTCGCAATATTTTTATTATGTCTTACATATAGTAAGATATGAATAAATTTTATGCATTTATTATTATTATTATTAAAAATAATTGTAGAAAATGAAAAACAATTTTTAAACAATAAGAGAGGTGTAAAAAATTATTTCCTTTTTCTTCAATCACTAAAACAAATAAATTACAAATGAATATAAAAAATAGGAGAGAAGAAAGTGAAAGAATGAAAATTATAAATAATTGTATTTCAATCACAAGTTTGTCTTAAAAGC